AAAAAAAAAAAAGGATGATGGCAACATATGTACAAATGTGCTTGATAAAATGGATGGATGTATAGATTGTGATAAGAGTACAAGAGCCCCCAGTAAAATGATTTTTTTTTAAAAAGAGATAAATATATGACCACACTTATGTAAAGCCAAATAAACTCACTGTTGATTCTGACTCACAGTAATCTTGTACAGGGTCTTTGAGACTGTAAGTCTTTATAGGAACAGATAACCTTATTCTTTTCTTGGTGGATTTGAACCATCAACTTTGCAATTAGTCTCCCAGTGCTTACCTGACAGCACCAAAGCTCCTTATACAAAGGGGCTTTGACAAAGTTATGGAAAAATGGAATGAAAAAAAAGAATAGAATTTTTCCATGAAATTTTTGAAGTCCCTTCAATAAAAAATGCAAGAAAAGGCAAATATATAAACACCAAGGTTTATTCATGGTTATCAGGCCTGGGAGGGAGTGGGAAGAAAGGTGACATTGCTTAATGAGTGGCGTTTCATTTATGAGGATAGAGAAATCACATTGATTAGGGGTAGGGTTGTGCAGATGACTATTGTAAATAGTCAATAAGTTTTATATCTGGAAAAAGCAGAATTTTACAGCAACCATCCCCCTCAAAAAAAAAAAAGCTGTTGAGGGTTGTTATGTATCACCAAACACTCATAGGATTTGGTTCTTGATTTGGAGGTTTGGTGGGACATCTCAGTTATTAGGCCTAATAACGTGTGCAGTGATTCTGATCTACCTCCTAGTGTGTTACATAGTGGCTGGGTTCTTAAAATAAGCATGCAAGCAGCCGTCCAAGGCACAACGACTAGTTTCTATTCACCTGGAATAGCAGAGGAAGAAAGAGTTAGGAATAGGAGGAGGAAGGAAATGTGTGGCTAAGTGCCATGAATGACAGCCTCCTTTGCCACGAGACCAGAAGAACTGGTTGGTACCCAGCTACCATTACTGAACATTTGAGCAAAGATTCCTTCTATGAATCCTGATCAAAAGGGAGTGATTGTAGAACAGAATTTCAGAATGTCCTGGGCTTGAGCCTTTCCTCACCAAAGGTTAGTAGATGAGCTCTTGAATCTACTGTATGTACTCTTTGAACCTTAAACTAAAAATATCCCCTGAAGCTGTCCTAAAACTGCCATTGAGTAGATTCTAACTTTTAGTACCCTATTAGATGGGGTAGAACGATCCCTTTTGGGTTTCCAAGACTAAGTCTGTGCAGGAGTAGTTAGCCTCCTTTTTCTCCTATGGAGGAGCTTATAGTTTTGAACTGCTGACATTGTGGTTTGCAGCCTAACGTTTAATCAGTACACAGCCAGAGTTCTTATAAAATTAAACAATAGTTAAATTAGTGAAAAATAACTGCTTGGTCATAATGCTCTTTTAAATATATGGGGACAAATTGACAACAGCAAGTAGAAAGAACAGCTATTAGTTTGGGAACAATGAATTTATGTTAATGGGAGAATGCAAAGAAAGGTGAGAATGGTTGTATAATTCAAAGAATATAATTAATATCACAAAATTATACATGTAGAATTGGTGCTTGTTTTGCTGGATATATTCTCAACAACATAAAAAGCTTTTGACAGTGTCTCTTTTTAGCAAATGATATTTGAACTAATACTTTCAAGTTTTCTTTTTAGTGATTATTTTTTCAAAAATATATATTTAAATTTGAATATTATGCTAACGTGAAGAGTACTAACTTCTGTTTGGGTTAAAACTGCCTAGGCCTCAATCATTCTCTTACTCTCTGTAGTCATTTTTGGTCCAAGCCTGGTTTGTGTTTTCGCAGATTGCCTTCTATATGTCAAAGGACAATGATAATAGTAATAATTGGAATATAGTTAACATTCACCCAGAGCTTATTATGTTAGTGAACTGATCCAGAAGTTTGCTTTTGTTAACTTATTCAATCCTTAAAATAATCCTGCCATCTAGACATTATGATCTCTCTTCCAGAGGTGAGGAACTGAGGCACAGAATAGTTAAGCAACTCACTCAAGATCACACAGCTAGTACGAAGCAGGTCAGGATGATGACTTGATTACTTGCGTTTCAGAAGTGACTTGAGTCATCTGTATGTTTCCGTTGTGTTGTTGGTGTAGTGCCATCCAGTTAGTTCCGACTCTCCGTGAGAGCCTTCTGTGCCAAAATCAGAACAAGACACTGCCTGGCTCATTACTCACCCCATAGTTTGAGAGGCTGATGTCTTAGAGAGATTTTTATGTATGTTACATCTTATCCATTATACTTTCTTTTTTTTTTTTTTTTTTTTTTTTTTCGTGTCAAGGTCTCAGTTTATTGTTCATTATACTTTCTTTAAAATAAGTGAATACATTTTTTGTCATTGTTCATAGGATGGGCAACCCGAAATTTTATATACATTTTGGAATTCAGTTACCAGAGCACTTTCTTCTCAATTTCATGTGGCAACAAATTGTAAGTATACTATTTATTTTACAAAATAACTTTTAAGTAAACTTATATATTTGATATCAAAAAGTTTTGCTTTATTGGTTTACAAGAAATGTTAATTTTAGAACTCCAGGGTAGTTGTCAGTTTTTCTAGCTGTTTAATGTAGAATTTCTTAGCTATATAATGATGTTATAAGCAATAAACCAATTTGGGAGCTCTGGTGGTGGAGTAGTTAAAATACTTGGCTGCTAACCAAAGATCTGCTGCTCAAACCCACTCAGCACTCCATGGGAGAAAGATGTGGGTGCCTGTTATTGTAAGATTTCTAGCCTTACAGATCCTGTGGGGCAGGTCTACTGTGTCTTATAGAGTTGCTAAAAATTGAAATGGACTCGACAACAGTGGGTTTGGTTTGGTTTAAGAGACCAATTTTAATAACTTTTTTGGTGATTAATATTTATAATAAAAGCTCCCAGAATAAGAAAGGAATCCTCCACAATTCAAACATGGAATAATTCTGTCTGAATGTTTCCTGTGATAGAGTGTAAAGAAATTGAAGGATTTGGTTAATGCTTCTAAAATTATTTAAATAACTAAGTAAAATATATTAAAATGCAGAGACTCTTCAGTACGTGAAGAACTCTGATGGCGTCCTGGGCTACACATTGAGCTGCTAACCATAAGGTCAGCAGTTTGAACCCATCAGCCACTCTGTGGGAGAAGTAAAGTTCTCTACTCCCAAAAAGAGTAATACTTTGTAAACCTAAAGGGACAGTTTTACCCTGTCCTATAGGGTTGCTATGAACTGGAATCAACTCGATAACAGTGTTTTCACACACACACACACACACACACACACACACACACACACACACACACGCATTCTTCGTAATGTTAAAAATGAAGATTTCTTGAATATATGAAATATCTGTATCATAAATGAAAAATTGCTTATATACATATAATCCACAAAATATTTTCTCTTTTCTACACTCACATTCAAAGTTTTTTTTTTTTAAATAATCATTTTATTAGGGGCTCATACAACTCATCACAATCTGTACATTCAAAGTTTTTGTAGACATCCACCTTTATTTCTTTGGGTAAATATATAAGAGTGACATTGGCTGAATATAAATGTACTTATTTAACTGTATCCAAAAAACTGCCAAACCCTTTTCCAAAGTGAATATCCAGTTTGCATTTCCATCAACAATATATAAGAATTCCAGTTCATCCCAATCCTCGTTAATCCATGATATTTCCCATCATTTAAATTTTAGCTATTCTAGTGTGCATTTAGCCACTTTTCACTGTGATTTTAATAAGTAGCCTAAAGACTAATTAAGGATGTGGTTTGCCCTTCCAGTCAATTCTGACTATTGGTGACCCTATGTATTATAGCATAGAATGCCTCATCAGGTTTTTTGGCAGTGATCCTTACAGAAGCAGACCTCCAAGCCTGATTTTCTACCATGTAGATTGGAGCAGCTTACATTTCGGTTATAAGATGATCACAATCATCTGGTGGCACCCATGCACCTACAACAACAACAACTTCCTATTTGCCAAATTCCTGAATGCTTTTGTTTATATCTTATGGGACCTGTCTGGCTTGTGTAGTCAAAGTAGCTACTGAGAGGGAATATAATTTTTTTAGGCAAAAAAATCCCTGTAGCGTTTCACATTCAAAGTAGTATGTTACTCTTGATAGCATTATTACTTTAATACCCTCCTTTGGGAAAACTCCAAATTGTTTGTAAAGCACCTTCCATTTTTATAGCACACACAGTCCCTAGAGTGCACGTAGTACCTCTGAAGAGGGTAGATAAGCAGCATTACGAAGTGCAGCCATCTGCAGAGTTAAAGATTACACACAATGTAACAGGTTGCTTAAATTCATAATATTTTGGCAGAAAATATCAGAAGGGAATTTTCCTAGTTAGGGAACATGTACCTTCTGATTGTAAATGTTCATGTTTAGTAACTCTGCTTAGAAGCTATAAACTAGGAGTTTGACAAACAATGAACTTAACTTTATTCACAAAGAAAATGTCCTTATCTGGTCCCCATCAAGATTCAACCTAGCTCCTATAGGATATACACCTCTTTAATTGGTCATTTTCATAATGATCCCACAGGCTCTTGCTGCTGTTTTTTGTTGCAGCTTCAAGATAATATTTGTACTTCAGTCTGTTATTTTTTATAACTTTTGATAGACAATCAAAGTAAACATTACTGGTTTGAATTCTTTGAACTGAAAAACATAGTACCTCTTTGTAATCTGGGGTTTTTCCAGGATGTCTCCTTCCTGTGCCGAATGGCTTCATTAGGGTTGGGGTCACTCAGTGGGATAACTCATGGTCTTTCTTCTCTCTCTCTCTCTCCCTCTCTCTCTCTCTCTCTTCCCTGCCCTTCTCACTATTTTGTTAGAAATCTCTCCTCCTTCGTACTAAGTGCTATTGTTCACTGCTGTGGAGTCAGGCCCAGCTCAGTGACCCTCTGTGCAACAGAATGAAGCACCGCCTAGGCCTTAGCCACCCTCACAATCACTCCTTATGATTGAGCCCATTGTTTCAGTCACTGTGTTATTCCATCTCCTTGAGGGTCTTCCTCTTTGCCCACTGGCCCTCTACCAAGTTTGATGTCCACAAAGGAAATGAGACAATGTCAAGTATGGGAGAAACACACTTGAAGCAAATGTAGTTGAAAGTGTGGCAAAGCAAAGAGAGCACAGAGCATATTGCATAAGACAATAGCCATTGAAGAACTCTGGACATGATTGATGATCGTGTCTTCTGCAAATAAAGAGTGTTAACCTCTGCCTTTCCAACCTTGATGTCTTTTATTTCTCTGTCTTGCTGATTGCACTGGCTGGAAGCTCTGCTTCAATGTTGAATAGCAGTGAGTGGTGAGAGCGGACATCCTTGCCCTTCCTGTGTTTCAGAGTGAAGGCATTACGTCTTTCATTGTCAGATAGCCCATTAGCTGTAGGCTTTTCAGAGGAGCCTTTATCAGGTTTGGTTTGGCCTCTTCTAGCCCTAGTTTGTTGAAAGGTCAGGAATGGATGTCGGATTATGTCAGATGCCTTGTCTGCATCTATTTAAAAAGTCACATAATTTTTCTCTTTAGTTTGTGCGTGTGATGAATTGATTTTTCGAATGTAAAACCAATCTTGAGTTCTGAGGTAAACTTCCTTAGTCATGATGTACTATCTATACATATTTTATTGGCCTTGATAAACTAAACTTTGTTTAAAAGTTTTATACCTATATTCATGAAGAATATTGATCTCTCTATATATATTTTATAATGTCTTAGGTTTTGGTATCAAGGTAATGTAGACCTTATAGAATGAGTTGGGAATTATTTCCTCCTCTCCAATTTAGTGGAAAAGTTTATGTAGAAATGGCATTATTTCTTATTTAAATTACTTAATACAATTCATTATGGAAGTTGTTTGGGCCTGCTATTTTTCTTTGTGGAAAGATCTTTAACTGAAAAAGTAATATATTATGTAGCTGCAGATGACTATTTGGCATGTCTATTTCTTCACAGTGCTGTGCGTCTCTCAAGGCACTTATACATTTCATTGATGATTCACATTTGTTGGCATCAAGTTGTTGACAATTTCCTTATTCTTTTCCTTCCTTTAGACTATGTAGTGAGGTTACTTTTCTCACTCTTAATATGGCTAATTTGTTGTTTTATTTATTTTACTCATTTATTTTGTAATTTTATTCATTTTCTCAAAGAACTAATATTTGGTCATTGTTTCTGTATTGTTCAGTAAAACATTTTGGGTATTACAGTGATCTAAACGGCTATTGATATTGAAACAGATCTTTATTATTTGTTATCTAATACAGGCATTTATATGTAAAATGTTCTCAAGTACTCCTGTAGTGAAGTGCCACAAATTTTGATAGGGTGTGCTTTCATTTTCGTTCAGTGTAAGAACTTTTTAATTCCTCTTTTGATTTCCTGTTGTCTCGTGGATTATTCCAAAACCAAACCAAACAAACCCACTGCCATTGAGGGATTCTGCTTTGTTTCCAAGGCAATCCATCTTGATGGGCACAGAAAGCCCCATGGAGCAGCGGTTGACTCAAACTGACAGTGCTGCTGGCAGCTCAGTGCGGAGCCAGTCTCACCCCCATGGGTCCCTAGAACTTTTGCTGTGTAGTTCCCAAATATTTTGAAAATTTTCAGATGTTTTTCTGCTGTTGACTTCTAAGTTCAAATCTTGCTTTATTTGACTTGAACCCTTTCAAATTTATCCAGATTTGACTTATGATACCAAACTTGTATCTTGATTTATGTTTTAAGTGTACAGTGAACCCTC